TAGGTACTTTCAGGGAATCTACTTGCATGGACGAACATGAATCAAGGTAAAATTGAGGTTTTGTCAGAGATAACAATATATTTTGACCATGAATTCTTCACAGCCTTAATTGAATGGCCGATAGTTTGAAATATTTGGTTCTCCATTCATGACATCTGGATGAAGGCACCAATGAAACAAACTCGATTTTCAATACAAACACTCATATATATATATATATATATATATATATACATATATATATTGTTATCCTTGAATGCAACGTGTAATACATAGCACAAAGTAATAACATACTAATTATAGATAGATTAACATAAAAGAAGGTAACAAGAAGGGGATGAGAAACTAGAATAGAGAAAGGGATGAGAAATGCCAAAGTTTCGATATGATTTGCATAACGGTTCATTCTACTCCATAGACATTTTTAACAATAGCTAATTCAGTCTGGATCCCATATAAAACTCTCCAACATTTTATTCGCCCCAATAATATTAACTGGTTCAGTCATATTTGCCACTTCTAGGCCATAGGCCCTCACGAAGTCATCGTGGATCACAATAGCTACGTACTAAAATACTGTTACATAATTAAAATCTAATCATGCAGGGTACCTTCTCAAGATTTTTATCCTTGAGACCAAGATAATATTTCACTTTCACATTTGTATATTTTGGTATAACACCAACATTATCCTTAGAAGAAAGTAATGGAACAATCATAGAGTCAACTTGAGGTATGAAACAAAAAAAAGCCAACGAAACCCTATAGTTATTTTGATCCACAAGAACTCGATGATAAACCGATGGGAATTCACCATTAGAGAGTATATAAAGAAGATCACATGCGATTATGGCATCGCTGGACACCGGATATCACAACCGGAATATAGACCCCAGACGAGACCGATGTCGTTAACCTTTCAAAGGTCACAAACAAGCCTACTTACGTCATTCTTACATTACATAGGTTAATCTTAGTGGAAAATTTGGAAATTTTTGATTCTTTAAACACACTTGCGAAACATTCTTAATATTTCGTAATCGTTCATCATCAACCATATAACGTTTAAGAGATAAGCAACTGAAAGAAATAATTCATTAAGTATTAATTGTATGTCGACCAAAGTAGCACCAATACAAAGTCTGAACCAAAACAGGAAAGAAACGCTAGTGGAACATGCTCCACTAGCTCAAATCTAAAACTATGCTAGAATGTAAAACAGTAGCATCCTCAAAAGAATGAGGACCTACCGAATTCCGAATGAATGTTGACGTCCGAATAGCTGCAACAACAAACTTGTAGCTCTACCGCCCACCTGTGCCTGCACCTAAAAGTAGATATTTGTATGGAATTAGTACACACTTGTACTAAGTATGGGTATATGCAAGTACACACCAGGGACATGCTCTTTCCTAACAACATGATTTTTTGAAGTCAAGTCAGTGGACTTGCCATATTGAGAATGGGAAAGTTATGCCATGAGAGTGACATACATCATTATTATTATCGTATGGCACACAACGCATAATATCTTTATATAGCCCAAACATGCAACACATACTTTCTTTAATATTATTCATTCATATTCCATGAGACCTTGTTATCATAGACTTAACGTTAAGACTTTCCAAAATAAGGGATCAACATATGGGACCTCAACTAGGGAGCCTTCTTTAGCAAACACAGGGTCTGCTTCATTCATTCATACGTACCTCATTTCTATTCATTCATAGGCCAGTGTGAACACCAACTATACCTAGGATGTAGTTTAAGACATTCATCGGGTTTACTGTGCAATGATCAGGGATAACCTAATGTCATTACCTGAATCTAGCTGATCTCTTGATTATCTTATCCTAACACCTTTGGTATCAATCATTTCTTTATATGATTCATTTGAGGCTGGCCTCATTCATTCATTGGGAACTTTAACTTTAACAAACATAGATCATGTGAGCATCATGAAGTCCAGTGTCTCCCCCACACCGAAAAGAGGTGGAATCACCGGCAAAAGTGACTCAATAACATGCTAGAGTATATGTCAATTTAACCCCGCCAGATCTCTATAGTGGCAATATAGGTTCAAAGACTAGGAGATGTATGGAGACCCACACCCGGCAAGCGGGACAGTCTTATCACATAAGAGTTACGTAAACCTCTGCCCTTCCCGAAAGAAGGCATCACCACTCATAGATAGCCTATCGGTGCTCAGTATAAAGTTCCATTAGATTCAACTCATACATCATGGAAGCTGGCTTCTAGTATGAGGACATCATAGATCAATAGATAATTTCTCATCTCATCATTAGAATTAAGTGTTTTAAACTCAATATTTTAATTAGAGTGTTCATATAGACTGATCTCTTCATTATCTTACACTCTCATTGGTGAGTACGTATTAGTAACATTTACTTAGGCTCATTTGAGGTTGCTCTCATCATATACATTAGCCTCACATCATGGTTGTCACCACATTCTTCATTATTAACCCTCCTAAGATTCATCATTTAATTACATACGTCTTAGGTTCACATAATTTTTGAACGTATGTTAGACTTATGTGTCTATATATACAAGCCATGGGGCTTCATTTATAGTTCGTTAAGTGATTCTTACTTTCCTAAGATTATGCATTACAAGACTTATGTATCTTGTATATATGTCAAGATCTTGATTTTTTTATCTAAGTAGATGACATTATTCCTTAACATTTTACTTACGTATAACTTATGTATCAATACGGAGTTTTGGGCACGGGAACCCATCTCTTGAATCATTTAAATATCATTGATATTTTTCATTGATTTTATTTCTAATATTCATAACATTAGAAGTCTAAATTAAATCCCAACATTTTCATAAAATAATTAATTTTCTATTTTAATTAGGATTCTAAATTAAATCTCAACATTTACATGAAGGGATTAATTTTCTATTTTAAATAGAATTCTAAATTATATCTCAACATTTACATGAAGGGATTAATTTTCTATTGTAATTAGAATTTTAAATTAAATCTCAACATTTACATGAAAGAAAAAAATTTTCTATTTTAAATAGAATTCTAAACTAAATCCCAACATTTACATAAAAGAATTAATATTCTATTTTTATTAGAATTCTAATTTTAATCTAAATAATTACATGAAAGAAATAAATTTTCTATTTTTATTTTACTATTAATCAACCGAAAACTTGGGGGTTCGAGCCCCTACAACCTCTTAACTTTTAAATTTAATTAATTTCACTCCAATGGGGAGGTTGTGGGTTCGAACCCCCACAACCCCCCCTTATTTTAGTTTTAATTTCGTTGAGAGGGGCTGTGAGGTGGTGGGTTCAAACCCCCACAGCCCCTTTATTCTTCTTATTATTTTTCTTTTAAAAACCTTTCCCTTCGCGTACTGGGAGGTTGTGGGTTCGAATCCCATGCCTCCGCTTTAATTTTTCTTTTCTTTTCGCGAGGGAGGAGCTGGTCGCGAGTTTGAACCCCCAGCCCCCCTTTATTTTTCTCTTATTTCCTTGTGAAATCAGGGGCTGGTCGCGAGTTCGATCCCCTCCAGCCCCATTTTCTTTTCCTTTTTTCTGCGCAAGGCAGGAGCGAGGGTTCGATTCCCCCAACTCCATTTTTTTTAATTAAGGCATGCTGCAGGGATGTCGTGGGTTCGATCCCTGCAGGCCTCAAAACTTTTCTTTTTATTTCTTGGATGTCCAAAAATTTCCAGATTCTTTTAAAGCCTATTTCTATGTTCTGGAAATTTATTCCACAATTTTTCTGCACTTTTTCATCAAATTTCACATTAGTTCTTAGGGAGATTTAATGGTTCATACAATTCACTATACTTCATCATAATGAACATCACATTGTACACTCATTACACACATAAAATACACGATAAATATACAACCTATACACCCCAAAATAGTGCCTAAAACACTACCCTATACACGCCCATACATCAACTTTTCTGGTCATATTTTGATGATCATTATCGTGATTTCCCGCACATAAATATATTCATATTTAATTTAAACACATCATTCATGCGAAAATCTAGCAGCACAACATATCCATCCTACAAATTCATTAGGGAGCTAAGGACAAGGACATACGAAGGAGAACAACCATAGTTTCAAGAGTTTAAGATACGTTTGAAAGAAAGTACTCTTGGAGAAAGAACTCCATGAGGGGAATCCATACCTTTATTGATGTTCAAACGAAGAATTCTCTACCCAAAACTCTCTCCAAAAATCAGTCCAAGTTACCTCAACGTCCACACCACCCAACGAACAGCTTCTCTTCTCCTTAATGTTTTTGGTTGCTTTGTTTTTCTTAAAATATCATGTGAGTTTTTCAAGCGTGAAGAACCGTTGGTGTATTCTCTGTCTTTTGTTGTGCTTGGCAGAATAACGTGAGAAAGATGGAGAACGTGAGAGACAGAGAGAGAGAACTATTAGGATTAGGAGACTAATTCAATGACTTAGTCAAATAGAATTTAAATTAAATTAGTACAAATCTGGTTTATTTTAATTAATACGCGAAAGGACCATTATGCCCTTAAAATTCCAAATTTTAATTAATAATTAAATCACCTTAAGTACCTACTATTTATTTTATTTTATTTTTTCCGAATCGTTACATTATCCCTCCCTTAGGAACATTCGTCCCCGAATGACACTACCATTACACATCGTAATGCCAATTCGATCATAACTTAATCATTATGCACAATTAACCAATAGCAACACATACAAAGAGATAAAGAACTATAGCCTTACGAGTAGGAATTCTAACCTCATACTAGTGCATACACACCACACACAGTCAAATAAATGTAGGACTAATTAAGGCTACTCACCCTAGATTTCACCAGAAGTTCCTTCCTCTGCACCCCTAGACTTGAGTGCGAAAAATCGTTGCCTTCTTAGAGCCTCTTCACTTGGTCCATTAGACTGAACTCACTCCTTTACTTGTTCTTGAATTCTCCTAATCGGACAATCCTTCACCATTTGACAAACCTATAACAAGCATTAGTGCCCCTCATACACTCTCCTCCATGTAATTTGCCATACTTATTGCAAGGTTGTCTCTTTTGAGGTGTATCTAATTCATTGTTTCTCTTAACTCTGGACTCAGAATTCCTATCATGGAGACCCTTGAATGAACTTGAATCCCCTTGGTGGGAGAGTTCCTTCTTAAACTTGGGATTATCCCTGATTTTAGTACTACTCTTCCTTGAAAAATTCTCATCAACTTGCCTTGCCTTGTTCCCTACCCTAGTGTGTTTCCTCTTTCTGCTTTCCTCCTCTTGCTGGACATGGACCATAAGCTTGGAAAGGTCCAATGCTGTCATGCAGCATAGCTGCCCTACACTCCTCTTCGAGATCCTCAACAATTCTTTCAAGAATCTACTCAACTCGTCTCTACTGTTAGACAAAAGAGAAGTGGCATACCTTGATAGTTTCACAAACTTCAGGAAATACTCCCTGACCGTCATAGGTCCTTGTTTAAGGTTGATGAATTCCTCAACCTTGGCCTCCCTCATCTCTCTGGGGAAGAATCTTTCGAGAAATGCTATCTTGAACCGCTCCCATGTGACTGGCACTCCACCTAGGACACGACTATCTTGCCACATCTTGCACCAAGTCTGTGCAACATCCTTGAGTTGGTAGGAAAGCACCTCAGCCTTCTCAATATCAGTGGCCCCCATGGCCACCAGGATCTTATGCACCTCGTCTATAAACTCTTGAGGATCCTTTAAAGTCTTAGCCCCTCGGAACAAAGGAGGATTCATACTCCTGAAATCTCGCAGTCTGTCAGCCATGCTGCGAACCGGTGGGTTCTCCCTCTGAACATTCTGTCGGTTCACTTGGGCAGTCATAGCCTGAGCCTGCATCGTGATGGCCTGTGCCATGTGGGCTAGAGATGCCCTCACCTCAGCATCAGTCAATCTAGCTGGGTTAACTAGCATGGCCACTCCTTTAGCTGGAGCCTGGGGTGGATTTTGATTGCCCCTAGCTGCTGCTGCTCTCGACATCAGACCCTTAGTTCTCCAAGTGTTCATTCTCTAAAAACAACAAGGATTGATGTTATACAAGTTCATAACACCAAAAATTGAAACATTAGGAAAAGCACGATAAGATAAGAAGAATGAAAATTTTTTCCTACGCATCATGCAGTCTCTAATCCAGGATAGTGGTGCACTTCACTACCATGACTTAGAAACTACTTAATGTGGTTGATGTGAACTCATTATTCTCGGATTTTAACTTAGTGCTCTGATACCAACTTTGTCACGACCAAAATCTAGACCCCAAAGGAGACCGGCGTCATTGACCTCTCAGAGGTCGAAAACAAGCCTACTTACGTCATTCTTACTTTACATATGTTAATTTTAGCGGAAAATTTGAAAATTTTGATTCTTTAATCAAACTTGCTAAACATTCTTAATATTTCGTAATCGTTCATCATCAACCATATAACATTTAAGATATAAGCAACTGAAAGAATAATTCATTAAGTATTAATTGTATATCGGGCAAAGTAGAACCAATACAAAGTCTGAACCAAAAAAGGAAAGAAACGCTAGTGGAACATGCTCCACTAGCTCAACTCTAAAACTACCCTAGAATGTAAAACAGTAGCATCCTCGAAAGCATGAGGACCTACAAAATTCCATATGAATGCTGACGTCCGAATAGATGAAACAACGAACCTGTAGCTCTACCGCCCACCTGTGCCTGCACCTAAAAGTAGATGTTTGTATAGAATTAGTACACACTTGTACTAAGTATGGGTATATGCAAGCACACACCAAGGACAGGCATGAGAAAGAATTGCTCTTTCCCAACAATATGATTTTTGGAATTCAAGTCAATGGACTTGCCATATTGAGAATGGGAGAGTTATGCCATGAGAGTGACATGCATCGCTATAATTATCATATGGCACACAACACATAATATCTTTATATAACACATAACATGCAACACATAGTTTCCTTAATATTATTCATTCATATGCCATGAGACCTTGTTATCATAGACTTAACCTTAAGAAATTCCAAAATGAGGGCTCAACATATGGGACCTCAACTAGAGAGCCTTCTTTAGCAAACACAGGGTCTGCTTTATTCATTCATACATACCATATCTCAGTTAATTCATAGGCAGTGTGAACACCAGCTATACCTAGGATGTAGTTTACGACTTTCATTGGGTTTGCTGTGCAATGATCAGGAATAACCTAATGTCATAACCCGAATCTAGCTCACCTCTTGATTATCTTATCCTAACACCTTCGGTATCAATCATTTCTTTATATGATTCATTTGAGTCTGGCCTCATTCATTCATTGGGAACTTTAACTTTAACCGACATAGATTATGTGAGTATCATGTAATTCAGTGTCTCCCCCCACACCAAAAAGAGGTGGAATAACCGACCAAAGTGACTCAATAACATGCTAGCGTATATGGGAATTTAACCCCGCCAGATTCCTATAGTGGCAATATAGGTTCAAAGACAAGGATATGTATAGAGACCCATACCCGGCAAGCGAGACACTCTCATCTTATGAGAGTTACGTGAACATCCGCCCTTCCCGAAAGAAGGCATCACCGCTCATAGCTAGCCTATCGGTGCTCAGTATAAAGTTTCATTACATTCAACTCCTACATCATGGAAGCTGGCTTCTAGTATGAGGACATCATAGTTGAATAAATGATTTCTCATCTCATCATTAGTATTAAGTGTTTAAACTCAATATTTTCATTAGAGTGTTCATAGAGACTGATCTCTTCATTATCTTACACTCTCATTGGTGAGTACGTATTGGTAACATTTACTTAGGCTCATTTGAGGTTGCTCTCATCATATACATTAGCCTCACATCATGATTGTCACCACATTCTTCTTTATTAACCCTCGTAAGATTCATCATTTAATTACGTACATCTTAGGTTCACTTAATTTTTGAACGTATGTTAGACTTATGTGTTTATACATACAAGCCATGGGGCTTCATTTATTGTTCGTTAAGTGATTCTTACTTTCCTAAGATTATGCATTACAAGACTTATGTATCTTGTATATATGTCAAGATCTTGATTTTTTTAATCAAAGTAGATGACATTATTTTTGAATATTTTACTCACGTATGACTTATGTATCAATATGGAGTTTTGGGCACGGGAACCCAACTCTTGAATCATTTGGATATCATTTATATTTTTCATTGATTTTTTTTCTAATATTCATAACATTAGACTTATAAATTAAATCTAAACATTTTCATAAAATAATTAATTTTCTATTTTAATTAGGATTCTAAATTAAATCTCAACATTTACATGAAGGGATTAATTTTCTATTTTATATAGAATTCTAAATTAAATCTCAACATTTACATGAAGGGATTAATTTTCTATTTTAATTAGAAATTTAAATTAAATCTCAATATTTACATGAAAGAAATAAATTTTCTATTTTAAATAGAATTCTAAACTAAATTCCAACATTTACATAAAAGAATTAATATTCTATTTTAATTAGAATTCTAATTTAAATCTAAATAATTACATGAAAGAAATAAATTTTCTATTTTTATTTTACTATTAATCAACCGAAAGCTTGGGGGTTCGAGCCCCTACAACCTCTTAACTTTTAAATTTAATTAATTTCACTACAATGGGAAGATTGTGGGTTCGAACCCCCACAACCCCCCCCCTATTTTTGTTTCAATTTCGCTGAGGGGGGCTGTGAGATGGTGGGTTCGAACCTCCACAACCCCTCTATTCTTCTTATTTTTTTTCTTTTAAAAACCCTTCCCTTCGCGTACTGGGAGGTCGTGGGTTCGAATCCCACGCCTCCCCTTTAATTTTTCTTTTCTTTTCGCGAGGGAGGAGCTGGTGGTGAGTTTGAACCCCCAGCCCCCCTTTATTTTTCTATTATTTCCTTGCGAAATCAGGGGCTGGTCGCGAGTTCGATCCCCTCCAGCCCCATTTTCTTTTCCTTTTTTCTGCGCAAGGCAGGAGCGAGGGTTCGATTCCCCCGGCCCCATTTTTTTTTTAACTAAGGCATGTTGCAAAGAGGTCCTGGGTTTGATTCCTGCAGGCCTCAAAACTTTTCTTTTTATTTCTTTGATGTCCAAAAATTTCCAGATTCTTTTAAAGCCTATATCTATGTTCTGGAAATTCATTCCACAATTTTTCCGCACTTTTTCATCAAATTTTACATTAGTTCTTGGGGAGATTTCATCGTTCATTCAATTCACTATACTTCATCATAATGAACATCACATTGTACACCCATTACACACATAAAATACACGATAAATACACAACTTATACACCCCAAATAGTGCCTAAAACACTACACTATACACGCCGATGCATCAAATTTCCCGGTCATATTTTGATGATCATTATCGTGATTTCCCGCATATAAATATATTCATATTTTATTTAAACACATCATTCATGCAAAAATCTAGCAGCACAACATATCCATCCTACAAATTCATTAGGGAGCTAAGGACAAGGACATATGAAGGGGAACAACCTTAGTTTCAAGAGTTTAAGAAACGTTCGAGAGAAAGTACTTTTGGAGAAAGAACTCCATGAGAGAAACACATACCTTTATTGATGTTCAAACGAAGAATTCGCTACCCAAAACTCTCTCCAAAAATCAATCCAAGTTACCTCAATGTTCACACCATTCAACGAACAACTTCTCTTCGGCTTAATGTTTTTGGTTGCTTTGTTTTTCTTAAAATTTCATGTGAGTTTTTCAAGCGTGAAGAATTGTTGGTGTATTCTCTGTTTTTTTTGTGCTTGGCAGAATAACGTGAGAAAGATGGAGAACGTGAGAGAGAGAGTTAAGAAGCGTGTGAGAGAGAGAGAACTATTAGGATTAGGAGACTAATTCAATGACTTAGTCAAATAGAATTTAAATTAAATTAATACAAATCTGGTTTATTTTAATTAATACGTGAAAGGACCATTATGCCCTTAAAATTCCAGATTTTTAATTTATAATTAAATCACCTTAAGTACCTATTATTTTAATTTATTTTATTTTTTCGGATCGTTACACGAATCAATTGAAGTTCATCCTTGGTCTTTTTTCAAGATTTGAAGACCCTTTGTATTAATTGTTTGATAGAGTATTGTTAGGAATAATGAATCTGTGTGAGGATATAACCCTAGTGCATGGTTAGGGTTAGGACATCATGGATATGAATTTAATTGTAGGGATCCTTCAAATTCAAATGAATTAATTGAATGTTCTAGAGATGGTTGTAAGTAGTTGAGGGTGAACATGCAGAGTTGAAAGGATAGAACTTTCATCTTCTTTTGATAATTTTCCATCACATCACTGCAAGATCCATCACAAATAATCAATTAAAGAATCATTATATTACACCTCACTTCTCAAATTATTTATCGTGATTTTTTTGAAAGTAAAATTTTCTCAAATTATCTACATAATTAAATTTATGCTTAGTATAAGAGAAATATAATTATTGTGTAGAATTATCTAACAAAGAACAAGATTATATAAATATTTATTATATCATTAATTCATATAAGTAGGTTCACATAAACTAGATCAATGTACTTACAAAATTTTTTTATTATCATGTGGCCAAAGTTCCTTAGCATGATCAAGTGGAGAATCCACAATTTTGAACCCTTCATGCCGTATGAACTTTGAGAAAAAGGTGTAATTCAAGTTATGCCATGGTTGGTGGCGCCATTAGTTGATCTCAAGACCTTCACCTTTTGTTCAGCAGGCAAGGCAAAGAGTCGTCTGGCCTAAGATTCAATTTTATGAAAAAGTTCTTAAGAAATGTCATCATTAACAAGGTGAAATATTCCCCATGTTTTACATTCATGGCCCATAAGTTCCACAACATTAGGGGCTAAAAGATCAATTATTGGGATGTTAGAGTTTTTGTCATTATTACTAGTTGGGACATTATTGATTTTAGCCCATAAATGAGAATTTGCGACTTCTTTGATTGACATGGCCCATA